AAGATGACCCCCAACTTTTGAGACCCTTTTCCAGGGTCAAAAAGTTGTTTTATACGCCGGAAAATACGGCATGTTGAATTGCATTGCTGAATATTTTTTAGAAGTTCATTATGGTAGTGGCACCCAATTGAATTCATTACTAGTATGCAAAATATTAAATGTACAGAAAGGTGTTTATAAACAATAAAATAACTCAAATTAAACTGTTATGCTTTAAAGTGGTGGCAAAGTTTATTATTTCTACTGTCTTCACTAAGGGCCTTTGCAGACTGCCAGAAATAGTGCAAATTGAGTCCACTTTAACTGGCCTGACTCAGTGCTAGGGAATCATGGGAACTGTAGTTTATTATGGCACCAGAGCTCCCTGACAGAGAAGGTTCAATGTCTCAGAAAAAAATACAATTCCCATGACTCCCTAGCACTGAACCAGGGCAGTTAAAGTGGACTCAATTTGCACTATTTCTAGTGGTCTGCAAAGGCCCTAAGAATGCAACCAGATTTGAGGAGGGGTTAAAATAACAAAAGAGTTCACCTAAATATCATAACATGTTCCTCCCAACCTAGTTTACTTTAAAAAATTGCCATCTGTGTAATAAAAAATATGCAAATGCTTTTCATATAGGCACATATGTTGTTAGTATATAAATTTATAAGATGAGAAAGACTTGGGCAGTCTTTTAGGCTGGCTCTCAGCTTTGGGTACAGTACAGTCTTTTTTCTTGTGAAAGAATAATTGAATAGTCATTACATTTTACCTGTAATTATAATTAAGAAAATATAAACAATCAATCTTGCTCAATAAATTATCGGAATGTAGTAGTATTGGAAACAGGCTAGGATATAGTAATGTATCTCTGCCAGATCTATGCCTGCCCACCCATCTCCTTACACCATAAAAACTACTGAAGGCTGGAAATCCTTTTGAATAGGTTTGGGATATCACAGAATGCTGCAGCAAGATGGTGAGAGGAATAGAATAATTTTGCTTGGACTGAATACAAAAGTACACCCCTGGATCTTGATCAGAAATTCCTCAGTTAAATAAATATTGATTATCTATATTATAATTTCAATCATGTGGTTGATCTGGTTTGGTCTCTTGATTCTCAGTGGTGGGAACCTGATTACTGTTCTAAGACACATAATTTTTTACTTCAAGAAAGATTTTTGTTTACTTCTTGCTTTTCATAAGAAGTTAATGATAGAAGGCAAACACATATACAAAGCATCTTTACATTTTGTTGAATTTATTTTGAGACAGTGGTATTGGTTTTCTGGAGAAGTGCAAGTGAGGAAAATTTCTTGGGAGTATGGAAATTATGTCTTGATTTAGTGGGTTTAGACTGTGCATGTAAGCATGGTGCATTGGCTTGAGCATTGGACTATGACTCTGGAGACCAAGGTTCAAATCCTTGCTCATTCATGAAAACCCATAGGGTGACCCTGGGCAATACTCTCTCAGCCTTAGAGGAAGCCAAAGGCAAATCCTCTCCAGACAAATCTTACCAAGAAACCCCAGGTATAGGTTCACATTAGGGTCAGTGTAAGTCAGAAACTGCTTGAAGGCACACAGCAACAAAATATACTTTTAAAAAGTTACTTTCAAGTTTAAATTTGGTTCTTTAAATATTGCTTGTCCCCAAAATTCTGTAAAAGCAAAAGTCACACACACAAAAATCTGCTGCACCTCATCTATCTGCACATGGCTCTCAATTATTGTTTTTTAAACCTTAATATTATTAACCCTGGAAAAATCATTCATTAGGTTATTAAATTACAGGTTGCCTTTCATCTTTGTTCCTAGACTTCCATTTTATTTGGAAGAGAGTTCATTTATTTGGGAAGAGTTATTTTCTTTTCACTTTGTCCTTGCATAGGGCTACAGCCAACATCGCATGACCAGACTTATGCATATTTTAATGTTGTAAGCCACCCCAGTTGCGTTACGCAGAGGGGTGGGATAAAATAAATATTATTATTATTACCTTTCTTTCTCGACTCACTATCTCCTCAGTCTGCTGTAAAGGTTCTTGAAAAGAGTTGGGGTACACAAAGGAACAAGGGAAAATCTGTTTTACCAGCATTTCCCTTGTCTCATTTCCCTTGCGTGACTGATGGATACTGCTCGATCCAGCCAGTATCTACTCAGTGACTTCTTGAGCATTATCTTTGCGATGTATATTATAATTGTTGGGTACATATCTTTAAAATGTGGGTAACAGAGTTGGTTCACTAGAGGGGAAAAATCCAAAAGCAGGACCTAAAAATCACAGCTCAAAATCTTTCCAATATTTGTAACATTTAGGAGAAGGTGGCATATATTGAGAGCCACATTCTCTTGTGGATAATCTGTCAAAGCCACATTCTGGTAGTGGATGAAGCCAGCAGTGGATGCAGTTAGAGC